CAGCGCACCGGCAGGTTCTGTCAAATCGCGCGGACCCTAGTCTCCCGATCATTAAAACGACCGATTGAGTCGTGAATCGAGCGACAGAGGTTTCGGGGGACGGCTTTCCAGAGAGTGCGTTTTTTTCTGATTACTAGAGGTCTCCGGTCACTTCTGCGGCATATCAGCTTAAGGTTTTAATGGTGTGGAACATTTGGCACATGTACGTGGCCTGGAATGCAGGCATCCCAAGAACGGGATAATTTTTCAGTTGGTCTTCGTTGAAGGCTGTTCCGCCACCTCCTACCTGTGTTTGTGTCTATTGGATCAAGGCTAGGATAACGGGCGGATCCCATCCTCGCGAGGTTGAGCTCTCTGAACCTGATGCATAGCCGTTTGCAGATAGTGAGTACCTCTTTGGCTAGTCCGAACAACCCTTGCCTGTTTCCTGTGATGGTAATCACGCGGACACCTTTCAGGAGCAAATCGGTAGGATGTTTATTAGGAAGAAACAAAACTAAGAAATCTCCAAAGCATGTAAAGAAAGGAAAGATGGAAACAAAAACCAAATGTATGATGAACGGAAAATGAAGTACAAACAAGCATGCACCGTCGGTTTGGAATGATGAGGGGGGCGTTGAACAGTAATTGCGGAAAGACAGTAGTCAGTAATCTGGATACGCCCACACTAGTTGCCTGCAGCGGCGTGGGTGGCGACGACGACGGTGGCCCAGAAGATGGCGTGGCGTTCGAGCTGGGAGATCTCACACTGCAGTTCCTCTACTGCACTGAGTACGCATGCGGACACAATTTACTCATCCTCAGACGACTCTGTGTCCTCGGGGTCCTCTAGGGCGAAAACGCTGTCACGGATGTCTCGCATCAGGTGTTGTATCTGATCCTGAGTCTCCTCCTCCGCCTCCTGGGCTCGTTTTGTGGCCGCAGCAGCGGCCATCTGTGCCAAAGCCAGGGCGCGCGTCTGAGAAGGTTTTGGAGTGCTCAGAGCTCGGATACTCTCTTTAATGACGTTGAAGGTCTCCCGCATGGCCGGTTGTGCATCCGGGGTCTTCTTGCGCGACTTTCGTGCGCTTTGTGCCCTCTCTCGCATACCCCTGTCGATGCTTGTAATGCCATGCTTGATCTCCAGCAGTGCTTGCAGAATGAGGGGGTCGGTCTCCGGTGGGGGCGGAGGTGGTGGCGGCGGCGGCGGTGGTGGTGGCGGCGGCGGCGGTGGCGGCGGAGGAGGAGGAGGAGGGGGGCAACAGGCACGGCGGATACGATCCTCCATCATGCACGTTGTTGTTTCGCTAACGTCCCGCATGAGCGTTCTAGCGCAGGCATTCAGTTCTCCCAGCGTCCGCAGAATAGTCAGGTTACATTCAGTGTTTGGCGCAGGGTTGCAACAGGCTGACGTTTGGTTGGCATTACGTTTGCTCATGGCCAGGCTGTGCATGTCTGTGGAAATGGCTTGAGAAATCCAGCCTAGCTCCTGCAGGGATTCGAGATTGGGAGACAACTCGCAACCCGCCGGCGACAGCTTTGTACAACAATCTGCCAGTAGGGGGGAGGGAGACCGTTGGCTAGTACAACTGCCGGGGCGTTCTGAAGTCACCGACTGAGCGGTAGTACTGTTCGAACGTCCTGCTTTTGACAATTTCCAACGACCTTTTCTTGCCGGCTCGAGTTGTGCTGAAGATGGGCAGTCCGAATCAGTTACCTGTGATTCACGGGATCGTTGTACCAGGTCGAGCAGGCTATTGCTCTCCTGCTGGACTTCTTGAACCAGACACTCGATATTCTGACGGAGGTCACACAGCCGATCGCCGCAGTTGGTCTTCACGGCTACTGTAGTGGCCGGCGTTTCGTCTTTCCACTTGATGCTTTGTTGTCGAGGCGCGGGCTTTGAAGTCCTCACTTTTGTATTCGCCGCTTTATGCGGTTTCTCAGTCTGACTGGGTTTGTAGCAGATGGAAGAAAGTGTACCCCCGGAATTGTTCCTTTGCGGTATTTCAGACTGATCTTTTCGAGGATGCATCAGAAAGAATTTGTATAGTCGTCACTTTTATGAAAAGTTAACTGACTGCTTGGTAGTGCCGCAGGAAGTATTTTTTCGAGTGATGGAGATATTTAAAGTTGCCGCATTATACGACGTCTTTCCTCTTTGATGAGGCGCTGTGCTTGGACCATAAGTTGACCACGTGCACGGCAGGACGCCTGATCGATCGCGAGTCTTAAATAAAGCATGGTTATCGTCGGTTGCGCGTCTTACGACAGGTGTACCGAGGCACTCTTAGGAGGAAAAGGTGGTGGCGGTGGTAGTCTGGGGTTCACAGAAGTTGTCACGCCTCGTGCGCCCGGCAGTACTATCTTAGTGGTGGTGGTGGTGGTGGCGGCGGTGATGATGATGATGGTGGTGGTAGTGGTGGCGGTGGTGATGATGATGATGGTGGTGGTGGTAGTGGCGGCGGTGGTGGTGGTGGTGGTGGTGGCGGAGGTGGTAGTGGTGTTGGCGGTGGTGGTGGCGCGATGATGGTGGTAGTGGTGGTGATGATGGTAGTAGTAGTGGCAGTATCTGAGCCTTGGGTACAAAAAGAGTCGCAGAGAACGTAAATCGGCCTCTGGGTTTGCAGTGCAAGAGTTCAAGATGAGCTTAGGTGTTGCTACTTACTCTGGCGCAGGATTCCAGTCGCAGTTGGGTTTTAAAGTTTCGCACATCCTCCAGACAAGAGTGAGTCCGCGTGGGGAATATGCATCCTCTTCTCTCTCTCTCTCTCTCTCATGCTCTTCGGTTTCGTCCTTCAAAATCACTCCTGATGAGAAAACCAACATTCCAGGACGAACATTCGAACTGTATAAGAAACAGTTTTTGGAACTCTTCTTTTGCACTGGCTCTGGAATCCATCCCCAGGGAAGGGTATACACAAAGGAGGAGAGGTTATACAATCAGTCCTTCCTGTCATCGTGGTTGTCTGTATCAGTCCGGGAGGCAGCTGCAAGTTATGGACGCGGTTGAGTCCTCCAGCATGGCTTCGTACCCAGGTCTAGCTGATCTTTATGACCGTAGAACCATCGCCAAAGCGAGTCGCAACTCACGCAGTTGTGACCTCGATCAATACTTGTGACCAGGTCTAACGGGTAGGTGTGACGGATGAAGCCACGCATCTTTACTGATGGTACGCGTTCTGCCACCCGCTCCTCCATTCCCCGTTTCTATCGTTTCGTTGCCTTGACCGCAACTCTGCTAGATGGAATAACGGACTTCTGACGCCTCATGCTCTGGTAGTGAGTCCTTCGGCGCCGTCTCCCGCATGCGGGCGATTCCAATTCGCAGTGGGCTGATGAGACGCCGGCTGCCGGCTTCTGAAGTCTGCCAGACGTGGACGCAAGTTTGCCAACTTCTCCTCACGATCCAGAAGCATTTCACCAGTGCCTCGCCGCCTGCCATTCTTAGCCCTCGCAGATTAGATGCTTTTTCCTATTTGAGCGTACAGCGATCCTCACGTTGCTCGGAGAACAGCCACTCGGGCGCAGTCGGTCAACCGATAACTTACGCGAGCAGAAAACAGATGCTATGAATGATAGGCATTGTAGGTGAGTGGAGGGGGGTCTGTCAGCTAACGGGCGAGCGGATGCGTGACCAACGCAGTCTTATAAATACTGAAACCTAGCGAATCACATTAGCCGTCTGTCTGTCTGACTGGCGGGCTCTCTTTCTCTCACACTCGCTCCCTGCGTCTACGTTAATGATTTACAAATTTGGAGGTGGAGCACTGGGCGAATAAAGTCCTTTGTCCAATGATAGATTAGAGAAAGGTTAGCAATTAAAAGTACAATCGACAAAGGTGAGGTAGGCTGGAAAATGCAATTATTAGGCCCCGTCAGCGATCTCGTCGTCCCATCGGTTGCGATGGGAAATATTAATATCGAGGTAGCGCTTCGCTGAAACACTGTCCTCTGGTTTTGTCTTTGAAGTCTTTCAACTGCCATCTCAGGCGGTCGTCCATTTAAAAAAAGACGAACAGCCTGCAATGAAAAGCTGAAACTTCGTAGGCAATTACGAGAAGCCGGCCAGTGCTGGCGAGTGTCCAGAGCGGTAGCTTGGAGGTGCGAACGAAAAGTTCGATTGAAAGCTCTACGTATATACATGAATAGGTATTGGTGCCCGAATAGGAGTACACCACTCTGTGGCTTCCCAAAGCCAACAAGGCTCGCATGGATGACAGGGGTCACGACCAGCCAACCACCTGCTGAAGTCGGCCAAGCTACAATAGCAGGAGGGGTGACGACAGAGTTTGGGGATGGAGGAATGCAGAACTGTTTCGGGAGCTAAACTACACGAAAAGTAGTGTTTTATATGTCACTTTTGGCCGTTTCTTTCACATTCGTAAACAATACTAATAGTTTTCTACCGTAAACGTAAGAACATGCCTTTCTTTATACATTGAAGCCATCTTCACTGTTTTTGCTCGCTTTTAGACTCCGTTCTTCGATTATGAATGCACGACAGAGCGCCCATATAAATACTGATATTTTGCTGAACTTTTAATGGTTTGCTCGTTCTATTTCTGAATAAGGTATGCACAGAAGCTAAACTACACGAAAAGTAGTGTTTTATATGTTCAAAACTGGAAATGACCATTCACTGGTGGTCAATTATGTGACATCAGGTAGGATTTTCCAAACGGCAAAACAATTTCGGCCCACTTAAACGAATGAATCCCTATTTGCGTTATTACTGCACTTTAGGGCATCAAATCGCACAGATCTGCAAATCTGACATTTAGAAGCTGATAAAATGTCTGGTTTTCTTAAAATAACCTTTGTGTCCGCAAGTTGATTACCACGGTTAGCATCGGATATAAAACAAATTTTCAAGTTCGGCTAAATCTGTTTATTAAAACTCTCGCTGGTAAATTACTATCCCTTCAATTAAACAGTCACACAGATGCGTAACCGGAGTCTAGGACCTGTATTAGTAAAGGAGATTGCACGAATATATTCCAACGTCCATTTTCGATAAAAATCTACTGATATAATTACGTAAACACCATTACTGCACAAGAAAAGGATATTTTATTGAACATTGAACATTGAGCGAACAAAATACGCCACGTTAAAGACGTCCATAAATTCTCGCATCAGTTTCCGTTATCAGATTTCATGAGATAGGTCACGTACTGTATTTGAATACCACCCAACCATTGCATCTGAAATGCAGAAATACTGTTTGGGGTTTCAACACTCCAGATTCACTGGTGTCTCTATGCCCGCAGCAGGCCCTTCAGTCATATGTGATTGTTCGATTGTCGCGGTCAACGAGATGCCCTACCGTCGGGGAAGGTGGGCGCAAGGGTATCTGTCGTTCTTGATCCCTCCTCCCCCACCCAACGTGCTCCGATGGTACGACAAAGTCAGGGCTACCGTCAGTCAGTCAGTATATTTGGAGTAAACGACAAAAGCCCTGAAAACTCCACTTAGACGGTAAGGGAAAATAGTCAGATTGCAAAAATTTTGCTTGCAATTTTAATAAAGAGAATTCATAAATCTAATAATGAAACATAAATGCGAAAGGGGTATGGTATTCGCGGAATAATTGCGAAGAACTTTGTTCACCGCATTCGGACTGTGAAAATTTCCATATGGGTCACGTTTGACGCACAAAAATGATCTATTGAAATCATGTTAGTAGTATATTTATAGCCATTTCAGTAAGCCGTTAGATTAGGCTTCCGCAGTTTGGGTTGCCTTTCAGCGGGTGAGTATCCAGTTGTCTCCTGAATACACTCACGGTAAAGGAATTAACAACATACTCCGGCAAAGAGTTCCATTGGCGAATGAACCCCTGTGAGAAGAAAGAGGAACGTTGATTTGTGTGGCACAGTTACCTTTTAAACTGGTAACCATGTCTGAGATTAGATTTGGATGCCACTTTAAAAAAACGTTTCCCGGTCGACATCCAGATTAGGTCCTTTTACCAACTAGAACGTTGCTATGAGGTCACCTCTGTCCTGGCCGTTGTGGAGGTGATAGATGTGCCAAGCCGTCAGGCGTTGCTCGTACGCAAAATTTTTGAGACCATGAACAGCCTTTGTAGCACGCCGTTGTACACCTTCAAGGATATCTATATCCTTCCGAAGCCACGGTCGCCAAGCCTTTACCGCATATTCCAGGTGCGGCCGCCCAAATGTCCCATATATTTTGGCAAAGACATCTGTATTCAAGTGAATAAACCTTCTGCGTATCGCGCTCATGACTGACCTTGCCCGAGCAGCGATTTTAGAAAACTGCGTGGTGACACTAATATCGTCTTTTTGCACAGCTAGGGTTTTAAGTGCTTGATTGTCCAGGAGATACTGTCGTGAGGGTGCATTTGTTCTTGGCCTCGCTAATACTGTATGCACTACGGCACATTTGTTGGCGTTGAATTTCATGCACCATTTCTCGCTCCATGTGTGCAAATTCTCTACGTCCTCTTGTAGTATCTTGACGTCATCTTCGTCTTTTATCGCTCTCCAAAGTTTAAGATCGTTTGCAAAGAGCGCTATGTCCGATTTCACTTCCCGTACTAGATCATTTACATAGATAATTAATAGGGGCGGCCCAAGAACTGACCCCTGTGGGACTCCACTTGTAACAGGTTCCCATTCTGAGCAGTAGCCACCCGCAATGACTTTTTGTCTACGACCGTTTAGGAAACCTTGAATCCAGTTTAGAATATTTCCTCTTATCCCTACTCCTGACAACTTTAGAACGAGGCGCTCCAGTTCTTGGGTCCAGTGCGGTCCTTCTACGCGTATCACAATCGATCCGACCTCCCTATTGCTCATGCGCCGGACTACGTTCAGGCGAGGAGGCTATCGGGTCTCGTGTAGATGGTAGTGTCACAAATGTCACGTTAAGGAGCCATTGCAGCCTCATCCTCAGTCGCTTGATGGATGGGATTGCACCGCCAGTGGACAGCCTCCCAAGTCATGGCTGATGATTTCTCATTACAGAATGGAGCTCGTTAGCTACATTTTACTCAGGAAAGAGCTGATATGCCGTAAAAAATATGTCCCCATGTATCGGCGTGACTACTCCGTAGACGACATGGCGTATCATCCATGCGGCGTCCAAATTCGGGTAAAGAAAATCATCGTCAATTACTGCAGACAAACTGAAAGTCCGGCCAGCGACTGGGGTGCGTGACTGGATAAAGGGGACATTAGCAAGCCAAATAATGGCTGCTGCCCTTCTCTCTTTGTTGATCTACTTCTGTGATTGATGAGAGTTCATTGGGAAATATCCTAAAAAGTGCATTGTCAAGAAGAGTCACCATACAAAGGGACACAGGGGCGTATCTTTCTTTTCAGTACACAGACTAAGCCATTTTCTAGAACCTTCTCATTGTAGTACCCGTTGATTGTGTGACCAAGGACATTGTCACCACGTTCGCACCCATTCGAAAGTCACTGGGGAGGGGAGGTCATTTGTGTGGGGAGAACTAGACATAAAGAGGGAAGAACACGTCTATTTACAACACATATGTTGGGAAGGGGGAAGTGGGGGAGGCTAGGTCGACACACGTCTGATAAAGTTAGACAATAAAGGAGGGCCGCAAACCTACGAGCAATCCAGCCAGAAAGATACGGCTAGAGACTATCTTCAGAAGAAAGCTCGGCGGATGATTCTCGCCCTGATTCAGACGCGTCGGAGTGATTGTGAGCTCGACGTCA